CCCCCCAAGTTCTGATCCTGTTCATACATTTTTTTCAATTCTCCTACCATTTGCCTACCAAATAGTTCTTCACATATCATGATTCACTGCCTCTGCTCTGAGGCAGCAGGCTCCATATTTGCACTAACACTGCCTGCTTCCTAATATAGAACAGCTATGATGAAACCTTAAGATCACACAGAGTTGAAAGGAATGAGTTGAAGCGAGATAGTATCTTAACTTGGATGTTTTGCATTCTCCCCACTTGTTCAAACAATTTAACACCTAAGAGGTTTATAAAACTTCACTACATTATTCATGCTGTCAACTGTGCGTATTGAAGCTGATGCAAAACTTAATTTAAGTCTCTTGTAAGCAACCCGTCACTGATGTGCCGAGTTTGACTTGTGCAAGACTTTCTCATCTGGCAAAGTTTTGTTTCTGCCTGCTGTGTAGCGTGAGCTACTTGTTTGATCTTCCATCCCCTCATTCCCATTATGAATGTTTATCGTTTTGTTTGCATGTGTTTCAGAAGGCGGCAGCAGTACCACTGAGCGCCCACTCACAGGCTGTCGGCATAACACACCCAGAGGCGGTTGCTCTCCCTGATCTGTCCCACTCAGGAAACAGTGAGACTTTTTTTCTTTCTTTCTTTCTCCCTCTTCTCCGTTTCTGCTTCACTGTCTCCTGCTTCTTAACGTCACCTAGACTACAGCCGTACTTGATAGCATTTAAAACTCAACCGAGGCATGACTCATTTCTCGACTCACTCAATATGCTGTTTGTTCAGAGCAGAGAGCGATTTTTCAAAATCTGGTTAAATCGTCAGCCTTTCTCATGGAGCTTGTCATCTTTCAAACTTAAACCACTTAATGTGGTGCTTTGCCATCAGGATCCAGTTCAAGTAGATTATTGTGACTGATATCTAAAACTTTACCATGGGAAAAGTTTTTATTTTTAAATTTGGTTCTGTTTTTTTGTCTCAGCAGGTGAAGAGACAAGTGAGCTTCCAGAGTTCAACTCCGGCCTTCCAGCTCAAGCTCTAAACTCACCGGCTGAACAGGATCACAGCTCCAAGCCTCTTGATTCAGCTGCTGCAGAAGCAGACATGGCTTCTGCAAGCGACGCGTCACCTGGAATAGATGAGAAGATTCCCCAGAGCGACAGGTGAGTCGATGTTTTCAAAAGGAAACTGCCTTGCGTTTATCCTCTGCAATTGTTGACCTTACCACTAGAGGTCTCTAAAGTAAAGTATTTTCTACATTAGTGCCTTGTTGATAATACTTCAGAGTACTTTTTATATATTACTGACTGTAAAGATTTAAAGGGACAGTGAGTAAAATATCATTGTGTCAGAGATATTACATTGTTTCTGGTTAAAACTATAAGGTAACAGATATTCCTACCACTATGAAAATGACGAACTTATGCAGTTGTATTTAAATAAATAAGTTACACCCAAACATCATAGAAAATTTAGTGAAGGAAGAAGTTGAAGAAGTAGAGGTCAATAAGTTATAGAGATGTCTGTATTACTGAGAATTTCTAAAGAAAACCAGTTTGGGAGTTGAAGGTGCAAATTGACACGTCCCTTGTATTACGACACTCATGTCATCTGATAGTCGTGATGGTGCACTGTTTTTTATCAAGTCCAGTGTCGGCACATTGATGCATAAAATAAAGTTAAATATAGAATAAACACTGGCCTAATTGTAGTAGTAATAGTCTCATATTTGCTTGAACCGTTTTTCAGTTCTTCTTGGATATTAATAAAGTATAATAAGCTGATATTTGCTTGCTATTAGCCGGGGTATCTGCTGAGGAAACCTCCCTGCAGTTGGCTTCTTGATTGCAGACATGCTACTTATAGCTAAGCAGCTGTAGTTTTGAAAGAACATTGCTTTATTAAGGTTGGTTCTTCGTTCTTTTCTCCATGATTCTTTGTGCTACTTACCAATGGAAGCATTTCCATAAAGTGGAATTTTTCCTTCTCATTATTGGGAAAAGACTGGGAGCTATCTTTCATCCAGCTAACAGCTACTTAGATAGCATCTTACTAAAATGATTGTAAGCGGTAAAATGAGTAGCTTAAGGTTTTAGTGGTATTAAAACTTTGATATACTTTTAACACCATACCTAACTTCTAGGAAACATGACAAGTTTCTAGAATCAGTCGCAAAATGAGCAGCTGCTTGTTGTTCTGTTCATCTGTGCATCCGTACTGTACATTTGCATGTCAACACGTCATGAAAAAAAGGGATTATCCAAGGAAAAAGCAGAACTAGAATATCCTGAAGAATGTCATTACTGATGGTTAATGTTGTTGCTGCTCTGTGACAGACACAGTAGCCAGCAGATCTAAAATAAATAACACTTTGATGTTGCTATGCAAATTGGAAAAGAGTGACAGCTGTGTATTCTAAGTCTTTATTTTTCCCTCAGGAATGGGTTATACACAGCTGTTCAGATGGTGGCATATGAGAGTCACACCTTTATATTAAAGCACTGAAGAAAGCGACCTTGTCGTGCATCCTGCTGGAGCATCCTCCTGATACTTATTTCACTAACTTTTGAGTTTTATTACCAGCCAAGTGCAGTTGGCATTTTAGTTTCATCATTTCCCTATGACTTTGGCCATATTTGCCAGTCAAATGGGTGTTTTTCTGTGTAGGAGGAGCTCCCAGTTGAATCAGTATCTCTGTGGCCGTGCTTTGCATAGACAAAGTCCACCTCCAAACAGACTAAAGCCTTCTATGTCTTTCTGCAGCAGCTGTCAGATCAGATGTACTTTGTTGTGGTCTAACTTTGCACAGCGAGAATCTAAAAGAATGCATAGTGTCTGACACTTAAACTCTGACCTTTCGTTTTTGGTCAGCATCCTGTCAACCGGTGAGGATCCCAGGCAAGAAGAAGAGAAAGAAAACGAGCTAGACGCAAGCGCAGCAGACATGAGCCGGCATAAGGTTAGTAACGGAGAGGAAGTGTTTTAATGCGTGGGGGAATAGAGTTTCCTCTCTTCTCTTCAGCACCAGCCTGCTGCTGCTTCCTCTTCCTCTTTTTGACACAGTCAATCTGTTTGGTCAACCCCTGTTTTTTGTTTTTGTTATGTTTTATTACGATGAAAAGACTCAGTTGAGATTACAAAGTAAAAGTAGCTCTGAGCTTGACAAAGATGTTTAAGTCAAGATGGTTTCCAGCTTTATTGAACCCTCTTCCCAAGTATGTGAAGTAATTATCACTATAAGTGACTTATCAGCATCAGTGTTGAAAAAATTTTTTTTGTTTGTTTTGGTCTCTAGTTTACTTTTGTTTCAGGTTTTTAAACAGCGTGTCAAATGTGTTTATGAAAGACAATAAATGAATCGTAGTCACTTTAAAGTGATAAACAGAAATATTTCCTTGACGAGCAGATAATTAACATTTTTGCTTGAAAAGCTCTATTTAATTCAAAAAGTCTGTTGTTTCTTGTCCCCTAATTAATCTTCTGAGTCAGTGTAATTTTCATAATGCAGTATACGGCTTTGCCGATTGTCTGTTTTTCATTAAAATTATAGTTGTGTATTACTACAAAATCAGAAACTGATATTTTTTTAATTACAGTTAAATATTCTTATGAACCCACCCAATATCAAATCCAGGTGGTACTTCTATGATTACATTATTGCACACAATAAAATGACAACAACTACAGGGATTCAATATATTTTGAAAGTAATTGTATTTATGATGATTTTTGGTTCTTTGGATGCTCTTTTGAAGCTGGTAGTTATATTGATGCTTGTTGGCTGCTTATGTTTTGTGGCTGCAAGCTTCATGTGGTGCTGCCACATTAGTCGCCTTGCGTAGGTGTAAGGTGAGACTCCTATGCAAATAGAAAGACTTGTTGTCTGGACTTTGCAGATGCTGATGAGGGAGTTCTGTCATTTATTTCAGGTGTGATTGAGCAGGGATGTGTCTAATTGTTGTGGGATGGAAGCTCTCGAGTTTTGAACCCAGATCCCTGATCTAAAAGACCTTTCAGGGTGCGTAAATGCTTGCCCTGAGGATTTCCTCAAAGCTCCTCCTCTGAGCTGTAGTCTCCAGCTGAGCTTCCACCTCACAGAAAACCCCTCCTCTAAACCTTACCCACTCAGCTCCTCCAGACTAGCAGCAGCAGCAATTAGCAAACACCGGGTGGAACTGCATGTCTGCTGAGCTCAACATACCAACCACTTCTCTGTCCAACACTCCTGGTTAACCACATAATGGAAAAGCATTGCTGTGATGACTTGCTGAAGGCGAAGTGTCTGAAAGAACAGGAGATTCTTAAAGAGACAGAAGACCAATTTCAAGGAGTCAACATTCCTTTTAAGTCATGATTGATGTACAGCATTTCCATAACAACTCAAGGTAACATAGTTGCTTGATTATGGTATAAAGTACATAATACCGCCTCAAAGATCACAGCACCCCCTGGTGATCCAACCCAAAAGGAATATCGAGATATTTTTATCTTTTGACATTTTACCTACCCTCAAACTTTATTTAATATATTTATAATTGGTAGAGGTGAAAATTTTTGCGCCAGAAACCAGCACAAACAAACATTTTACATCATTTTTGTTAGATTTAATAGGGGAACCTTGGCTCCGTTTGTCTAATTTTGTTCAGTCAGTAAACAACCCTGATGATCTTGTTGGTGTTCTATACCTGCTTACTCCAGGTCACGGCTGTGTCTAGATTAGATCTTAATCCAGTAGTCGACTGATAAAATTCACGATTCAAATGAACTGAGTTGTTTTCTTGCAGAACTTACTGCGGTCAGTGCTTATGGTTTGGTCTGTTGATTTAATTAAAATAAGACTTGATTTCTGGGTTCCAACTGGCCGATCAGGCTGGAAATCATTCAGTTCTTGACACCAGCCAGATTCCTGGTACATTTTATTATGTGCTGTTTTTAATCCAAAATCTAAACGTACTGTAGGAAAACAAATCACCTATTGCACACTGTTAATTTATCGTCACATAAATAAGTACTAATGAATAAAAAAGTCTTTCAACTGTTGTTCTAGTTAAACCATTATGGGTCTCTTGGCAGCTGGCAGATTTGTTGCCTTAAGTACAAAACGGTACAAAAGTTCTCCATTTGTTGTTTTTCAGTGAAACGTTAAAGCAAACCTGTTCACTCCAAGCTGCGTCATAACGGATATTATGTACACTCATTGCACAAGATGCCACTGCACTGATCTGAGCTCTCACCTCGCTCCCATTGTGTGAGTGTGTTCACACTGTTTTCAGGCAGTCCGCCTCCACCACTTAGTATTATGCCTGTGTCAACTTGGTACCATTTCCAGCCCGATATACACACACTTATAAAGCTGCAGAGCTCTCTCTCTGTGCGTGCCTGACTTTCACATTATATAAGAAGTCAGCCTCATCTCTCTTCCACACTCTGTAAAGCTCAGATGGCATTACTCTGCCGTGGGACAGGTATGCTCTGTGGTTCTTCTTTTTAATATGAAATCATGTGGGATACAAGAGAGAGGGAAAGCCTTTAAAAAAAAAAAACTTGAGGTTTTCTTGTTTTTCTTTTTAGAGCCTTAGTCGTGACCCGTCAGGAGATAAATCAGCAGCTGAGGACAGGTGAGGTTTTGTTTGTTTTTTGTCGCCACTTAATTATGCTTCAGGTTTGCAGTGTTGTGGTGTTTTACCTGTGAAGTGTGTTCTTATGCAGCACAAGTCTCTTACCTGTGCTGGTAGAGGAAGAAGAGATGGTTAAGGATGATATGCCTGATGGTCAAGCTCTTCCAACCAGCATGGCAGGTAAAAGGAGCAAAAAAAAACATCTAATCTGTATGAAAGCAGGATATGCAGCTGGTGTTTTGCATACACATTCTTACATATATGAGTACCTTTGACTCGCTTAATGTTCTTCCAAGCGATGAACCAGCTCACAAGCAATGGGCCAGACACCTCTGAGAGCGGCTCTCCTAAGTCAGAATCACAGATCGGACCAAACAACCAATCAGGAGGTAGAAAAGGCAGCACATCCTCTAACCTCCCCTTTTCACAGGTAAGCCATGGCATAAAATAGACTGTATAAATTGATTTATTTATTATTTTATATAGGTTTCTATGAGTTTCCCCTAGAAAACATGCTAAGCCCATTGGTAGGGCTTTGAAATTTGAAAATACAAAATTAGGAAATATGAACATATCACTAGGTAATAATGTGTTATTGGAAGACATTATTAGCAATACCTAAACACCAACTATAAAGTCTTAAAACCTATAATAAATAATAAATAAATAAACTTGGCCTAGTGGGAGGCAAGTAAAGCCTGGTGGCCCGCCAGGCTTATAGTACACTGGGGGAAACCCTGTTCTGAGGATTTTTATTTTATTATTTTAGTTTTAGGCCTGCAAAACGGGAAATTAGAGATCAGTTATCAACCTTTTATAACAAGCATCACCTCTGTAAAAACACTACAAATATAGCAAAGCAACAGGATTTTAACTTTTTTTTAAATTTATTTAATAGAAAAATGAGAAGTAGTTTTCATCCACTTGCACTATATTTAAATACATTGATGTGAAATTATTTGCCTCCTTGCAAATCTATTTTTCGCTCTTCTGTAACTCTGTTGTGTTTCAGATCATTTTTCACATCTCAATCTGTCCCTGTTAGCTAAAAACTGCTTGTGCAACTGTTGGTTGCAACAACTTTAATCAAATGACAATAAATCTTTTAGATTAGTGTGGAGGAATCTAGCAAATGCCTCACCCTTCTTTTTTGTAGAAATATTTTGATTCAACCGAGTTAGAGGGAATTCAACCAGGAACAGCCTGAATAAAGCATCAAAATCCAGATCTAATCCAATGGAAGATTTGGATTAGTCAAGTTTTTGAATAGCTCAAAAAAAAAATGAATGTTTTAGAGTGGACCAGTCAGAGAGGGATTTTCTAGTGCTTAGTCTGTTACATAGCATAAACTGACTTAACATTAAGGGCACAAACTCATTTCTTCAGTTCATATATTCACAAAGAACTTTGGAGTCTTGAAGTTGATGTTTTTTTGTGCATGTCAGACGGCCGTGTGTTCATTTTTACCAGGAATGGTTTTAACTTTGAACTGTACAGTGAGTTCCATTGTAGCCCAGTCCTTATTGTTGAACCATGAAATGTGACTGAATTTCAGGAAAATAAGGTCTACAGTGCTGCAGTCTGTTGTTGTGTGTTGTTTTATGGCCTTCTGGATGAATCGTTGATATGCTCTTGGAATTGTTTTGGTAGGTGAGCTACTCATGAAATGGTTTTATGTTTTATTTTTCCCCTTGAGGATATAGGCTTTACCTGTGGTTCCCTGGAGTCCTCGGTTATAGGTCTCTTAAGCCTGGGTGTAGCTTGTAAAACTGAACGCAAAAATCTAGCTTTCTGGTTAACCCATATAGGACAAGGCTGCCTTCTTGGTTTCTGTCTGAAGCTAGGGTGCTAGAAAAGCTTATTGTTGTAGCTGGATATGCTTGATAACGCCTCATCAACCAGTTAGCTTTGTGTTTAGTAAGACTGATCTCAAGAAGCTGCTCTTTGAGTCATTAAGTGCAAAAAAATTACCATCATTAGAACATGCTCCAAAATATTACGACCTTTTTCAGCAGTCTCCTTAAACAACCTGAAATGTTGAGTGAAGATTGTTACGCGAAGATAAAATTCCTCCACCCACAACAAGACTCTACATTGGTGTATTGCAGCCTGAACATGTAAACTGGAAAAGGTTGTTGTCTTTCCAGTTTTGCATGTGTACGATCGTGTGAGCCTATCGAAGGAGAGGGAGGGAAGAACAGAGCACAGTTTGATTTTTATCTCCAATAAGGAGAGGCTCATTCTAAATAATAGAGTCTTGCCGATTGTTCTAAAGGAAAGAGGAAAGAGTAAAATGGCGGAAATTGACAGTAAAGAGTTGTCTGAAATGGAGGCGCCAGAGCAGGAAATGCAAAAAAAGGAGGAAGAGACGCAATGTTTTGTACAAACTTTGCAGAATCTGGCACACATCATGGATGCTGTTGAGAAGAACCATATCCAGGATGAACCAAGTGAGATCAGCCTGGCCCCTAGGAGACAATGTAAGTCACACGCATTCATTGAAAGCTCCTGAATATAAAGTCTTTCCACACTGTGAATTCAGTTCTTCAAGTTTTGCTTGGTCTAAAACTTCTACCGGCTCGTTTTCTAGCGGATTCATCCGTGACCTCTGACTCCAACGATGTTTTCAAAGATGACAGGAACAGGTAAGATAACAGACACTTATGACCCTTTTCTTTAAAAAACGAGTCCTGAGCTATTTAAGGAATGATTTTCTCAAACTCTTTCTTTAGCTCATCTCCTACTGATAAGGAGATTGAGGTAAGCAGAACAACTAACTTTGGAATATGTGAAGAATTTGTTTGCTTTGGGCGGTTAATTTAGGAATAAGAAGCACATTTAATTTATGGCTATAGAATAAATGCTTCTAATCCGAATTGATATAATTTTCTTTAAATCTGAGTTATTTTCTTCCATTTAGATAACTTTTATGAAAATGTCTGCAGTGCAATGTGTTTTACTATTCCAGGCAGAGTTCCAGCGCCTCGCACTGGGATTCAAATGTGACATGTTCACCCTGGAGAAAAGGCTCCGATTGGAGGAGAGGTCGCGTGACCTCGCAGAAGAAAATGTTCGCAGAGAAGTGTCCAGCTGCCAAGGCTTGTTGCAGGTCCAAATTTGAACCTTTAACTCTTCACTTCTTAGAGAATAGTTACCCTGCATGTTTTCTCTTCCCCTGCTTCAGTACAACTGAGCCAAACGTTGGTTTATTTCCAGAAGCTTAAATGAATGTTGAATTAATTTAATCTTCTAAATCAGATGATCCAGGGTATTTCTGGCCCTTAAAATCATATTTTAAAAAAAAGATGAAATACTGCTGATGGGTTGATGATATCTTGTGGGAATGCGGGGTTGTTACATTTATGTCCTATTTTCATTTCACCTCACTTTTCCCTCCTAGGCTCTCACTCCTTTGTGTGAAGATGACAGCCAGTCGATGGAGATCATCCAGAGGCTCCAGAAAAACTTAGATATTCTCATCCAGTCCATGACCAGAGTGTCCAGTCGCTCTGAAATGCTTGGAGCTATTCACCAGGTCAGATGAAAACACCTGCAGCAAAACTATAGTTGTTTTTTTTTTTGTTTCTTTTTCCATTTCATTTCTGACATTGACAAAAACTGCCGCTTTGTCTGGATGACAGGAGAATCGTATTGGTAAAGCGGTGGAGGTGATGATCCAGCACGTTGAGAACCTGAGGAGGACGTACACGAAAGAACATGCTGAGCTGCTCGAGCTCAGAGAGGCGCTCATGCAGAGTGAGAGATCGTTTGGCTCACAAACACAAAAAGGTTTTGGAGCCTCGCAAATAAAACTTTTCAAATTAATTTTCTTACCTTTTAACCAATTTTTAAATGTTTTATTATTTTTTATTTTTTTTAATGACAGATGATTTCCGTGGCAAGAAGCCGCCATTTAAATACACGGTTTGTTACTTGTGGACCTGAATGACTAGAATTGAGTGTGTTTCCTCTTTTTTCTGGCTTTGATGAGTTTTGTTTTGTTTTTCTTTTCAAAGCCGGAAAGATCCAGAAGAGTCAGCATGGTTCCTATTGGAACCTTTCACTTTGATATGGTAAGAATCACAAATGTCAGTAAAATACACTTGGATTCATCTTCCTGGTAGTCAATTTCTCAAAGATGGATTAGATTCAAACAAAAAGTTCAGATTGTGCTGAGGAACAATGTCTGACACATATTCAGTTAATGTTTCCAAAATATGTCTACTATCAAAAACCTTTCCACATTTTGTCATAGTACAACTACACACTTGAATATTGTTTTTGCTCGTCTTATGTGATAAATCAACACACTAGAGGATAACTGTGAAGCAAAAGAAAAACATTTTTTATTTGTAAAAAAAAAAAAAAGATAAAAAAAACATTCCAAGTAAGAAGCAAACACTGGCTTTTTGCTTACCACTCGACCATAAAGGGATGATATGTGGAATACACATGTTTCAGATTTTTATTTGTTAAATCATTTGAAAACTGTCACTTTTCTCAATTTCACTTTTGGAATACATAGTTGTTTTCCTCCACAGAAAATTGCACAAAAGATAAATAAATAAAAAAAAGGCAGTGCAGTTTGTTGTGTGATGAAATGCAAAAAGAAAAGAGGATGTGAATATCTTTGCAACATATTTTGACTCATGAGCGTTTTCAGAATAAGATGAGATGTGGCGTCATAATTTAGGAGGTGGTTTGACTCAGGGGAACATTTAACAAACTAAAACCCAACTATAAAGGTTGTCTGGTTAATTTGTGGTTAAACTACAAACGCATGCAAAACACAATCATGTCCTCATGAAGTGGTTTGGAAAATTGGACCTATTTTAACAGTTATGATAATCATTGTTCTAATTTGTTTAAGACAAACATTTTTTTTCTGTTACAGCCCAGAATGGGTCAAGACGGCCCAGAGAGTGAAATAGAGAGGTTGACCAGGAGATCCCCGTGGTAAGTAGTAAAAAAAATAAAAATAAAAATAAAAATACTCTCCATTCATGAGAGAAGACACTGAGCAAATATTGAGGAAAATGTCATTGCATTGATTCAAAGTGGACTTCTTCAGTTGTCCATTCCTTTTGTTATTGGTGGTTTTACTCTTCTCCACGGTGTGCTGTTACTTGGAGGGTTGTTTTTATTATGCCCCTATGTGATAACGATGGTTTCCAGGAATGTGGCAGGGAAGAGCATGACACGGCCGCCGCTAAAGCGGTTTGTTAGCTCTGCGGCCTGGGTTGACACTGAAGACCCCCCTGACATGACCAAGGGGTAAGGAGATGGACGTCACTCTGGCTGCGTCACCTCGGTGTTTTCAAAGCAAACCCTCATGCATAAAGATGGCTGCTAGCTTTTAAAACACGATGAGATCAACTTTTTTTTTTTTTTTCTGAGAGGATGAGGAAGCGTGTTTGCATTTTGAGTGTGCAGGCCAAATAGTTTAACAAAAAAAAAACTGAAGTTGATCAGAAACACAGAAAAAAAAAATACCCAGCAATGACACTAAACCACATGACAGCCATCTTTTATGCATGAAATTCTTTGCATGAGGAAGTGTCTTTGGAAACGGGCTGTTTTAATGGTCTGTGCTGCTGCTGCAAACCCACTAAGACCTGAGCTGCTGTTTGTGCACAGAGACGGGTCTTAATTGGTTGATGACACCATCCAATACGCTGTCCAATATTTGTTTACCAAAATTACAATTTGATGTATGTAAAGGTGTGAAATTGCTTTATGGCTTAATGCTCTGGTTTTAAAACATCCACATCACCTTCTACAAATGTTAATACCCCTTGAATTTTTCTCATGTTTTGTCACTTTATCACTTCATAAACTTCACTGCATCCATTTGACGTTTGATGCAATGAGAAGTGATGCATCAAGCATGTGGAGGAAAACATTTATACAGGTTTTTATAACAACTCAAGGTAGTATAGTTACTTGATTGTGTTAATAAAAAAAAACTCAGCCAGAGTTTCAATCATTTCAATCAAACCATATGTTCCAGTGGCCCAAAGTTCTGATTTAAATCCAATTAGGCAATCTGTGTCAAGATTTGAAAATTGTTTACTGATGTTTTGCAAAAATGATCAAAATCTTTGAGACATAACGTAAAAGGCTCAGTTTGCTGTAATGTCAGTGAAATGGATTGGCTGAATAATACTAATACTTTTGTAAAGTTCAAGGGGTATAAATATTTTTCAAACTGCTGTAATTTGCTTGACTTGAAATGCATTCCTATTTTTGCTAAAATGTAAATCGTCTTTATTCTTGTTTTTAAAAAAAATGTAACTTGGTGTCCATCTTACCAGCTTTACCAGCTTTTTTTTTTTCTTTTTTCTTCTTTTTTTTGGTGCTCTTCATGCATGACATCTGTCTGGTCACCAAACGTTGTGGTTTTGTAGCCTCACTGTTCTGAACACTGTTTTTTGTGAACGCATGACCATGCATGCCCACAGGCCGTCCTGCAGCAGCGCAGACTGCCAGTCGGACGACGAGCCGAAGGAGGCGGTGGTGGAGGAAAGGAGGAGGTCCAGCCTCACTGAGCTGGGCCAGAAACTCACCTCTCTCCTTCTGCCCCAGAAGACGTTAGTGAAACCAAAAGAACACCAGCAGCTTCCTGAAGCACTACTGTCTGCGAGCCAAATGTAAAAGCACAGTGAAGGAGTTGATCACTTGGCTTCAGTGAGGTTCCTGTGGTCCTCACCTGTGGTGGCCTTTGTTTAATAAATGCAAACCACCAATAGAGTAATGACTGCCAGCTCAAATAAGTTATTTTATGCACAACTATCATGTTGACGGCAGATGCTTACTGCTTCACCAGCAGTTTGCCTGAGTCATTACCTGAAATTGTAATAATTTGGAAAAAAAAAAAGATCTTCATAAATTTGTCTTAAAGTTAAAAGGAACTTGAGGAACCTCCTAAGTGATGAAACTTTCTTTTAATGGGATAAAGCTGGGCCAACTTCTTTACTTTCTGCAGCTTTCTGTTAACATTACACTTATACTTTTTTGAGTTGAGATGAATGTGACAAATGTGTTGATTTGTGACTTCTGCATGAGGCTGGAGCTCAGACTGTTTTTGTAAAGCATCTATTCCATGTTGATCCTTGCCAACCTTGTTCTGTCCCTAATATTAATCCATTCATGTGTTTTAACAATTTCTGTGCAAGCTGTTTTTTTTTTTTTTTTTTTGGTTTAACCTAATCCACTGTGGGGTCAAGTGTCTATCTTGTGCACGCAAGCAAATAATGAGCTTTTTTTATATCTGTCTTTTCTTTTCTTCCTTACAAATAACTCAGGAGTCAGGATGAACTGTTTGTCATGCTGTAAGTGCAGAGCGTCTGTCAAGTTTATTCTCCAACCCACTTGCCAGTCAGACCACTTTAGAGCTTTGCACAGCTTTTGCATTCTGTTCATTGATATAAATGCTTGTCTGTCTTTAAAACGGCAAAACTGGTGGCTTCCAACATCAGATCTAACTTCAGATTTCATTTAATTTACCGCTTGTTGTTCATCGCACAGTTTACCATAAATGAAAGGGATGTTTCCTGAAACATCTTCTGGTGGCTTTACCTCCATCCCGATTCATTTTTGTTAAGTTGACTCACTTGCTTTACAGTTTCCCCTCTGGTTAACCATCCTTCATAGACTAGCTTCAGGTGATCATTGACTAACATTTCTTTCTTGCTCCTTCAGTCCAAGTCCTTCGTCCAGCCCCACAACTACAGAGCCTGGAGTTCCTCAGTCTGTTTCCCAAAACCTGACCAGTTCCAAGGCCTCGGCGGCAGCAGTGGCCAGAGGAAGCAGAGGGCTCTGGCTGTGGTTTGCTATTGTGGTGGTGTTAGCAGGTAAACACGTCAGCTTCTACTAAAAGTTATACGTCTTATTAGAGGGTTAAAATGAGCAGAAGGAGAAACAAAGTTTCTGGCCACAATATGTAGTTTGTTTTCTTTTGTTCCACTACAAGCAATCAGATATGAGTATATAGAACATCCTTTTTTTATTATAGGGTTTTATATATCTGGATGTAATGAAAACAGTTTAATATGCAAACGCTTCAACCTTTCAGGCAATTTTAAATTTAGTGATGCTGCTTTTTACATGACCAACTTGAATTAAACTCAGTTCTCCCTGACACCTTTAAAGCTGGGAAATGTAACTTTTTATGAAAAAAATGTGGTTAAAACTTTTACTATGTCACGACAGTTTGATACGAGACAATCTGTGGGGGGGAAAAAAAAATCAAGCTTCTTCGCCTTTTCTCTGAGCTACTGTTGCCGTCTGAAGAAATTCACAGCTCCCGGTCAGAAACGACCAATCAGAACCAGTCAGTCATGCTCATGTAGCAGCTGCTCAATGTCCTAATGGTGGAGAAATAACTTGCTGTCCCAGGAAAACTGTTTATTCTTATTTGTAAAGGAAAGAGTTTAGTGACTGCTGTGTTTTTGTGTTTGCCAAAATAAGTCACTTTGACCTACTTGAAGGAATCTTCGTGCATTTCTTCCTTTGAATCTCCCTAAACTCCAAGTTTTTACTGTGTTTTTCGTCTGTTTGCCAACCTTATACATTAATGGGCTAAAATGCCTGTCCTGAAATATAAAATGCATCTTCCCCTCCAAAGCCTTACCTCCCACTTTGTGCTACCCACAGGCCTTCTTGCACTCCTGTTCAGTTTGGTGACGCAGCCAGCCGTCGACGCAGCGCCGGTGGGAACAGGAGACTCTTGGATGACCATCCAGCAGCTGCTGTGGCCTTACACTGGGCTCCGGCATAACGGACAGCCACCTGTGTAGACGGTGTACCGTGAGGCGGGTGGTTCTTGAGCCCCTCAACCCCTCTGCAGTACGTCTCCTCACACTAGCGTGGTGACGACGGAAAGTTTGCCACTCCTGAGCAGAGACTGTTGGGACGTTTACTGGTGCCTCAATTTTCCTGAATCAAGAGTTGCATTAACAGTAGAGGCCAGGCCTTGAGGCTGGGAAGGATGGTCAACCGTATAGATGACTTTTTTATTATTATTATTATGTATCGGATCATGTTTGCTAATTTAGTCTGTGTTTCTGCTCGTCTCTGTTTACAGGAGAGGTTGTGCTGACCAGTGTTTTTACCACTGGGCAACCTGAAAACATGAAGGTTTTGATCAGTACTGCTGGAAACAGCTGATCATGACATAACGCATTCAGTTAAATCATGATGTGTCAAAAAGAGCTAGCATAGCTCTGACCAATTATGTCACACTGAGGAATGATGGCACAAGTGTGTTGAAGCACATTTCATTTGCTTAGAAAACTACAAATGTTTTAATAGATTTTTTATTTAACTTTCTGGTAACAGAACATAACAGTTGACTTAGCTATATTGATATAAGCTGAAGTCTACAAACACTGGCTGTGAGTTTATTTTATTTAGTTTGAAATGTATACAATTATTAGCTTTGAGTGAAGAGAGATGGATCTTTTTACTTCAGAGCTAAACATCACCAGGTACTGATATTGTAATTGTTATTGATTAAAGACGAATGTTTTTTTTCTTCTTTTTTTTTTTAGGTTGAACACCGTTGTTTGTTGTTTTCTTTTTCTTTAAGTTTGAACACCAACTTAATTTGTTTTTACTCAATTTCTTTCTGTGGCTCCCAAAGTTTAATTGAATACACTTTTGTATGTCCCAAAGAGGATGCATGGATCTTTGCACAAATAAAGTAGCCTATTCTGCAACGACATCATCCCAGCGTAAATTTAATCCGTCCTCAAAGACACTCACACACCTGGAATATGGAATTAATGATGTACTACTTCAGTTGTTTTGGTCGATTTGAATCTCTCTTCTTTCCTCCCAGCTGAAACACCTTACAGAAGTACTGATGACATGCAAACTTTGCTGTCACTTGTTGCATGGCAACAAAATTCTCAACGGACTTTATCTGGATTTTACATGATTGATGCAAATTTGTGCACAGGTGTTTACAGTTGTGCTCAAATTTGCATCAATCATGCAAATTTGATATGTTTTTACAAACAAAATTCTCAAAATTCATTTAAATTCAATCTCTCAAATGTATATTTTGTAGATTTTATAGTTTGTTTTTTTTTCAAAGTTAAAATTAACCATCTTCCCTGCTCCAACTAAAGACACATCTGCACCGCTCACCACTGCCTCAGCTGAAGCAGTGCTGTGGCAGGATGGTGTGCGGAGGTCGTTTAATGACTGTAGGAACAAAAAGTACATTTTGGTCTCATCGAACCAGAACACCATGCTTTCTTTGTCCTCTCTAGAGCTTGTGGCAAACTTCTTGGCAGTCTTCTTACAGTTTTCTCAACTCTTCCATAAAGGCCACATTTACCCAGTGCATGACTGACTGTTTTCCTGTTGACAGATTCTCTCTTTCTGAGCTGTGTTCAGGCAGCTCCTCCAGTTTTGGACCTCAAGGTTGCTCTTCTCTGAAAAATTCTCTTTGCCCTTTTTTAGCCATTTCTGGGTATTGTTGCCATATTCAGTTGATGGGTTTAAGCTGTGCTTCGTAAGATCTTATGAAGTTTTTTTTATAACTAAACCCAGCTTCAAACATCTCAACAACTTTATCCCTGACCTGTTGTTGTTGTTGTTTCACAATGATGCACTTCTTTATTTTGGTCTACTTCAGGTGGAAAAGCTTGAGGAGCATGAATACTTTTACAGGGCAGTGTCTTACCCAACAAGCCAATAATTTTCAACATGGAGCCAGCTTTTTAATGCACTTCCCTATTTGAAAAAGGATATCCCTTTTCCCTCTCATGTCGATATTAACAGCAGATGATTGTAGCACCAAAGCAGAAGTTACTAAACTGAACCAGATGTGTTGCTGGTAATAATTTGCATGAGCAGAGCTTAGTGATGCAGTGTTTGTGTGCTGAAGAGCTCTGAATGTCCCATTCGACATTCCACATGGTCCATGAGAAGCAACAAGCAAATGCAAAGAGGAACATCTGGCCAAGTTTCTGTGGTGGGGTCCTGAAACATGGCTTTAAGGGGGAGGGGAGGAAATATTAGTTTAAAATTTTCTAAATCAAATGTAGCTGAATTTATTCCACAGTTCCTTCTTTGCACTCTGAGGACAAACGAGCTGTAAACACTGAGCCACGCAATTAAATCCTGCTGCAACTTGTGGTTCTGAAAAAAAAAAGAAAAAAAAGGCGAGTGGGGTTTGACACATCTGTTGAAGATCAGCAGTTGTTTATTCCATTCAGGAAAAATATGACAGGATATGATTTATTGGTATTATAAATAAAATTCCAAACAAATTCAACCAGTGTTTGAAAATTGGCAGCAAAAAACAAAGTGAGAGTTATCTGAGCTGAGCTGATGCTCATTTTTGTTGAAAATGAACCCTTTCAGGTCTGTTCATTTTGTCTCATCTTCAGATCAGATATTTAAAAAAAAAAACTAAATATTTATTATATGCAATTTTGACTTCAGTCATCAGATTTTTTTAAGCTTGTTTTGGAGATTTATTGTTTTTAATTTTCATATTTGTGGACTTTTTTTGAGAAACGATGGGTTAGCCTGGGATTTAGCTTAAATTGAACCAAGTCTAATTATGACATTTGGGCAACAACCCAAATTAAGCTAAATATTTTTAGAAAAAAACAAAATAAAGTCAAGAATTTGGGGAAAGTTTATGGTTGAGAATAAATTTAAGTTGAGGGAAGAAGTTTCTGGGTGGATAATTGGATTGAGACATGCAACAAAAAAAAAATCTTTTGGAGTTAAATTTTATACCAAAATATTTTGTCTAGAAGTAGCAACGGATCAGAGTGCTACCTTCATGAAACAAGCATGTTTTTACAGATATGGTGGTTGTCGCATCTAATTCTTATTTATGGCATGTACAGAAGTTTCATCCACTTTAAAAAATAAAATAAAATAAAAAATTGGTTGTTGCGGAGTCGTTATCCTCCAGCAGATGGCGCCATTCACCTCATAATCTCTGCGCTCTCAGCCTTACTTCAGTTCATGAATGAAAGGACTATTCATGTGTGAAAGTGGAGAACAAAAAAAAAGTATTGGCTCTTAGAGGCCAATATCCAGGTACCAAGGATATTTAAATTTAGATTTCTCTCTACAAATATGTCAGTTCTTTAAGATGAACCAGTGAAGTGTTTTGATGCAGGAAGGAATGGTGTACTTCACAAAATAGACGGGATTATGAGGAAATAAATATCATCTGGATTGAGATATCCATTTGATCTAAGGGCAAAGGTCAATGCAGATGCTCTTCCCAAATTGGGGTCGTTATAAAACTCACCTGTACTCTCCTGCTGTTAGCAAGCTGGTTGTTCTTTTGCGTTCATCAATGAATTAGGTGAAATCTATAAAGGGAGCGAGGATGTTCTGGGTTTCTCAAACCTTTATGGAATACTCAGTCATTGTACAATCATCAAATTACATAACATTTAGAGTGGAAATGTCTTGAATCACAAAAACATAACCGGCAGACGGTTTCATTGGGGTAAAGAAAGAAAAACTGCCCTGTCATCAAATTACTGCAGGAAGCAACAGGTGACATGATCATTCTAGACAGATCACCAAAACCTAGAAACAGGTCCTGCCCCCTCTCCCCCAGTGTGTCTGCTTACAATTAACATGAAACTGTTCATTCAGACGATCTCCTAATGTCACCAGAAGTTCTTGTGTACAGAACCTACTCTGAATGGCACTAGAATGAAACAAGCTGTCCAGCAGAGTATTTTTGTATGTTATCAAAGCATTCCTGACAGGTACACGAAGTAAGCATGCTGAGGAATGGGTATGATTTCTCTCAAACACACACTACTTTGGCAATGACTATCTATGGTGTAAGATTTTGGCCAGTCTGTGAAACAATGCTTGAATTGTGTACATTTTGTACAAACGGCAGGTATAAGCGCTCTCGATTGTACAAAAGAACCCGGAAACCAAAGCTTTCAGAAAATATAATTACAGTTACTACCAATCCTATATATTCTGTCATTCTTTACTGCCATTCTTTTTGATGAGACTAGACAAAAATAATTAAACGCTCCAAATTGTTGACCAAAGATTGGTTTCTTTTCATCAAGAAAGTCCACTTTTTGCAAGGTCCAGCTCAAAATCGCTAAAAGCGGGATTAGCATTGCCGAATGTCATCTCTCTGTCCTTCTTCAGGTCCAGATGTCCACTTCGACGCTTGATCTAAACAGGACACAAAAGTTCAGTATTTCATACTGAAACTTGGGTGTAATTTTTCTCAGTGCAGCAGAACTCACTCTCCCTGTAAACGTTTTGATGAAATGGTAAATGGTTGTGTCTTCCTTCTTTAAGATAAGGCTCGGCTCCACTTTGAGGTTGTAACCTCCTTGAACACACAAAAACAGACAAAAATGAGCATCACAAAGTCTTGGTAAGAGACAAAAGTTAGCTTAAGAGAAATATCAATTTGCCTGTCAAGATGCTGACGACCAGTCCTACGGTGATCGCTGTTATGGTTCCCAATGGACTGAAGTACAGATAGGACAGAGAGTACAGGTCGGTCAGCACCCACCTGGTGAGAGAAGTAAGTGTTATGAATGTAAGGTGAGCCAAACTGGAGAGTCAGAGACCAACATTTTCAAACACCTACTTGTCACCATGGTGTACTGGAGCCACTGATGTGAAGTTCTGAATTGGTAAAGTGCTGGAGGTCCAATTCGAGCCATGGGCCGTAGTGAAATTGCATCCCTCAGTGGATAGAGGTAGAGGTTGACTCAAGGCATTGGACGGAGGGTATATCTGAGCTCCAATACCCACCCAAAGAGATAACGCCATGCCTGAGAAAAGGCCTGATAAAGCTCCCTGGAAGACAGAACAATAGGGCAGCCTTTCAGAAACCAATGACGTACAGAAACCACAAGAAATCTAAGATTACATAATTTAAAAAAAAAAGACTTCAGACCAATGGTTTACTAGAACTGTAATACCAAAAGGCTACATCTACATGAAAGCAGACCTACTTTAGAGTTGGCCAGTGGACATAGAATCCCCAGCGTGAACAGACCAAGCAAAGGGCCACCAATGATCCCAAAAATACTGATGGCTGCCTAAAATATATCAAGCAAACTGTTCTTATTATAAACCACAAACCATCGGACACATGTCTTGGCATAATTAAACCAATGAAAACTGCTTGGGCAGATTGCTACCTGCAAGATTCCTCCCATAAAAGAGGCCAGTCCAGCCATTCCAATGCATAAAATCCCATAGAAAAAACCTGCAGACAACAATGGGAAAACCTTTCATGTTGGCAATCAAAGTTTTCAACTCCCAACTTGTTTTATTAGTACCAATTATCCACTTACTCATTCCCTTTGATATCCAGGTCAGGCGCGTTTCCGAAAAGTTGGTGTATGGTCTTATGATGTCCTCAACTGTCACTGCGGCAAGTGCATTGATGCTGGAAGACACAGTGCTGAGGAACCAAACACATAACATATAAGACAAACTCCAAGAAAGAGGCTGTAGTGAACACAAGAAAAGAAATCTGTGTATATCTGAGCTTTCAAAGATAGCTATGAACCTCAGAGATCCGCTGTAAGTTGCCGCAACAAACAGTCCAGGAAGGCCAGGATAGCCGCCCAAGATGTCCATCACTAGATATGGCATCAGCTATGGTGTCATCAAAAGATCCATCGTCATTGGAGACTTCACACACATACTCAAAGAAATCGGTTCACGCATTGATGGACCCGCACCTGATCAGGAGCAGAAATAAGTCCGGTGGTCCAGGGGTCACAACTTTTATAGACTGAGAACAGACACATTCCTGCGAACACTGAGCTCAGTAAAATGGACCAAAGCCCCAACAAGTTGATGAACAAGGAACTAGAACAAAGAGAAACATCAGATGAAAAGCTCTAACGGCCCACTCCGATGAACTTGTGCCTTTGGAGAGCAGAACTTACAGTCTGGCTTGAGTCATGCTCTTGCAGGCGATGTATCTTTGAACCTGTGCCTGGTTGATCCCATAGATACTGAGCCAAATGAATGCCCCTCCGATAGACAGAGTCCAAAACGTGTGTCTCCTCAGCGGGTTTGGATCAAAGCTGATGACAAAAGTAGGGAGGAGATTACTTCGGATGTTCCTGAAATTTAGTTTGTTGATTGTTATGAACTTTTCATTAACTGTGTTATCTAATCTCTCGGGTGTTGAATCAGGACAAATAATTTGTGAATATGTCAGTTGATATTTTTATTCAGGTTTCATAAGTACAAACGTTTATCAAAAATCATTGATTTGTTTGGGATCTGAATACGTCAGAGTGTGAGTGGGTCCTTAGGGTTTCTGGCGCAGGATTTCAGGACTCTGCTGCTGATATGCGGCTAAGTGAATGAAAAGGTGCCTAGAGTCGGTAAACACCCTTTCTGCAATCAGGTCAGTGAATGATCCTCATGTAAAACCAGAAAACCTCAACTACACACCTAGTCAGCCGATATTTTTAAACTCTGTGGTTTATTTCCACAATGTCAGCAAAACTCACACTACAGGTGAGCAAAGATTTCTTCTTTGCTGAAGTAATCCAGCAAAGACGCCAAAGTCTTGAAGTTTATACACAGACCCAGTCGAGGTATATTAACTAGTGCCCAGTGCATTAAGTTGGTGCACTGGCCACCAATGTAATTTGAACCCGGCAGTCTGCCATACTCACTCCAAAAGATTTAGTCTTCCTCCCTGCTGTGAGTCAGATATGATGTTGATGACTCCGCCTTGTAAGACTACAGACCGGATGATGACGGTGAGGAAGCCCGCAAACATGACGGCAAGCTAAAGGGAGAAAATGACCTGTTATACATTGCCTCGCAAATACATTTAGGCCCTTTTTGTTGCATTACTTTGGGTGTATTTATTACGATTATACTTGATCGGCAATCACAAAGTAGCACAAAATTCTGCTGTTCATTAATCCGACCTTATGGAAAAGCATCAAGACAAAAGCAACTGGAAGTTTCAGTCTTTGTCCAAGAGTTGTGGTACAAGCAAAACCAGCAAACATTATGACACGTTGTTCTATAGTCAGATTACTTCTTTATGTGTCTTATATTATTTTAGCGGGTGTTAAAGCAAAAATGTTTTCCTTTAAAAATTCCTACCTGAATTACGTCAGTCCACACCACTGCCTTTAAGCCACCCTGCACCAATGGAAAGCACAAGCAAATTTGTAAATTAGTGTGGATGAAGACGCATTAGGTCTAATGTAGATAGAAAAAAAGGAGGAGTGAATTTCAGCCAAAAAAAGAAAAATCGGGAAAAAAAATTCAGAAAAAACAAGAACAATTCTGACTCTGAAAAGTTGAGAGAAAAACTCGGAAATTTCAAGAAAAAACGTGGAAATTTCTGAGTGTTCAAAGTCGAAAATTCTCAAAAAAAAAGTCAGTCTCACATTTTCGACTTTTGAAACTCAGAACTTTCTCGAAAATGAGTCTTTCTAGCACATTTTCCATTTTTTTTTTACATTAACTTGCATTTTTCAATACGCACCATTGTACAGTAAAAAGTACAGACCACTCCCGTTGAAATTACGGCGCCCCACAGATCTAGACCAGTCACTGCAGTGGGAGAGAGAGAGAGAGAGAGAGAGAGAGACCATGAAACCGCGGTCAGTCATCTGGACAAGGCCAAGAAGGGCTAAGAACGACTCATGAATCTAACCGCATACCTTGGTTCAAAGCGAGAGCCGGAGCGTAGATGACAATTCCGGTATAAAGAATCTGTAACAGCACAAAAAAAAAAAAAGTCCCCCAGCAGCAGGAGACAGGTTTGTGCTTTTACCCAGAGTGAGCTGTAATTACGTGCTCACTGGCCCGACACTCACTGTCTGAACAATGAAGAGCATGGTTCCCATCAGACGGGTCGCTCTGTTGAAACGCAGCTCCAGGTACTAGATGGAAACAGACCCAAAAGAAAGAAAATATGACTTCAACATCCCAGCATTCACCCTTCCAGGGTTTGCAATTGTTTTAGTTCATCCAAAGTACCCCCACCCCCCAACCCCCTATGTCATGACCTTGACAAATAATGAGATTTGGATAAATATAAAACAGGCTTTAATGGCGAAAATGATTTTTTGTTGTTGTTATTCTGACTGGGAACTTGAAAAATCAGACTTTAAAATGCATCTTTAGATCAAAACCTAAAATACTCGTCTGCAAAATGCAGTTTGAGACAAACAAAACTATTATTCTACTTCTGAAAAACAGTGCTTGTATTATGACCGTCTTAAACTTAGACAGACTTTAAAAAAAAGAAGCTAAATTTGTGAACAATCGAAACTTAGAGAAACTTTTACAACTATATTCTTCATTTATGATACACCCACTCTCCTAATAAGTCACATGGTGCCCCTAGTTAAATGTTGTTGTTTTTGTATTAATTTGGAAGACAAAATGTCATAAAAACAGCTTAAATCTTTCCCATAATTTGATTAAACTCTATGTTTTCAGAATATGTTCTGAAAACATATAAAAACACAATTTCCATTTGGTTCTGAACCTTGTTCTAGTAAGCTAACATTTATAAGATGTGTTTTTTCTTAATCATAAAACAACTTTCCCTTACAGTAGACTCTAAGTTGAATAAGAAATACCGTGACAAACATTTTTTGATAATTCAAGCCCTTTAAACGTGTCACTTAAGCACGCCAAGAACACGAGCGAGCTACACGGGTTACAAAAAATGACAGAACACCACAAGTTTAAACCACTCTGACCTCATACGTGCTCGTGATGCTCAGCTTGTAGAAGACCGGCAGGAAGACCTCGGAGGTTATGAGCATTGTGAATACGTAGGAGACGGCGTAAAACGCGATGCTGGCTCCGTAGCGGTACACCTGCGCACGAATTGGAACCTGTTAGGACGGCGAAGGACGAAGCTTGTGTCTGAACACGTCCGTCCCACCTTGTCTCACCTCGGCTGGGTTTCCCAGCACCGTGATGGCCGACATGAAGCTGGCAGACAGGGACATGGAGACGGGGAGGGCGGTCAACCTGCGGCCCCCCGTCAGGAAGTCCCCGGCGCTGCGCTGTCTCCTGTCGGTCCAGGCGAAGTAGACCCCGACGGCGGCGGACACCAGCAGCATGACCGCAAAAACCACATAGTCTGCTACAGCAAAGGAGCTGGTTACAGAGCTCCCTGACATTCTTTTTTTCGTTCTTTTCTCTATATTTTTTTCTTTTTCTTCTTTTTTTTTGTAAACAATCTACTTAGAAAGCAACTCAAATCCTCCCCTGTGTGTGTGTGTGTGTGTTTTAAAAATATATATATATTATTATTGAGAAACAGGCAGTCCTCTGTGGATAAATGGAAGTCCTGGCACATCACCTGCTCACTCAACACTGAGCTGAGAGCAGGACCACAGACCGAAACCTTTTATGTGAGCGTGTGTGTGAGCATGAGTAAAGGTGTGTGTGTGTGTGTGTGTGTGTGTGTGTGTGTGTGTGTGTGTGTGTGTGTGTGTGTGCGTGTGTGTGTGTGTGAGAGAGAGAGAGAGAGAGAGAGTTCATGTGTAGCCAACAGGTCAAGAAATATTTGCGATATAAAAAAAAATCAAAGTTCAAATATTTAAAAAAAAAAATTACCTGCGTTAATTTTTAATGTATTTTTTCTCCCACAAGCAATGACAAAATGACACTTTTTGTGTCATTTGCGCTATTTTCGATGAGTTTTCTGCTGAAAGCTGCTGCATTGTAATGTCTTATCCCGTGTAGCAGACCGCGGTGTTCCCATAGCAGCTGATAAGCAACCAGGAGGTCAGACGACTCAGCTAGGCGGTTGAGTAAACTTAAGATTTCTTAAGATACGTTTATGAATGATATTTTTGGAATGTGCAAGAAAAAAAAACTTGATTAAGCATGTGAGTCCGGAATCAAGATTAATTAGTGCAAAACACGCTATTTCCAGTAACTGGAATTTTTTTTATGATTAAAAAAAAAGTAAGTGCAAATATGATTTTGCATGGTTCATGTGTGACTTTTCAATTTGAACAGAATTTAGAAAAAATAAAATAAACAAAGGTGTGCTATTGAGAGCCAAAATTTCTATTATTCCTTGAAATATTTCTTCACATTTTGATCTGCCGCAGAACCAAATCTTACTGCATTTAACAGGGATTTCATCAGACCAATGCAAACTAACCATGCCCACCATGAAACATGGCAGCGGAATTCTAGAATACAAAAGAAAACCACACTAATTTTTTATTTATTTATTTTTTTGTAACCTCTGTGGCTAATGTGTGTTTTCAGAAGAAAAAAAAACACACATTAACCACAGAAGTTCAGGTGTAAACGCCTTGGTAAGGCACTGAAGCTTTCAAAGTTTGGTTCAAACCCAAACAATTTCTAGTCTTAAAATTAAGGTTTTATTGCTGTAATAACACAGTTGGATGCTTTCATAGACAGGATGCATCTTTTGTTAAGATAAATATTTTTTTATGCTTTGGCTACACACTCCCTCAAATTCAATTTAAAGATGCAATTTACCCAAATTCCTTTTATGATTTTAATAGAATATTGAGCACATATTTTTGTTGTTGTTGTTGCTGTTTTTAATATACAGAACTGAAAATGGAAACGTTTGAAAGATACAAAGATCTTGTAGACATTTCTTCCCTACATCTTTTTGGACATTTTAATGTTTCGAAGCAATTTTAATATATTTGGAAAAAAAGGAAAAGCCTCCCCTGCTAGACCCAGTCTGATTACATAAAACAAGCTGAGAAATATCTAAAAAAAAATTAATAATGATGAAAAAATAGGCATATAGACACCATGACCTTATCAAAAGAAATTTAAAAACAGAGGAGAGACAAAGCGACCGACCTTCATCAGGGTTTCAAAGCTGTTCCCAAAGATTTGGGACTCAGGTGAACCACAGTGAGAGTCATTACCTGTAAATGTAGGAAACGTGTAACAGTGGTGAACCTTCCCTTAGTGGCTGACCCACGAGGATAACTCCAGCTCATCAGTGACTCAACCTACAGCTCACACACACACACACACACACACACACACACACACACACACACACACACACACACAAAACCCCAAAGCAACATGTAGTGCAGCCCTCACCTACCACAGCAAAAAATGGATCACAAGGCCAAAACCACTCTGACCATAAAGAAAACAAAGGTATATTTTCACCAACAAGGCAATTCAAAGTACTTTATTTGATTGGAGGTTTAAAAAAATAATAATAATAATAATAAAAGATTTTCACTTTCGGTAGTGATACAGATACCTGAGGTTTAGTATCGGCCGATCCGATAAAGAAAGTCAATGCTGAATCAACTGAATTTTTTTTTTTTTTAAACACAGACCAAAATGTACTCAAATACAAATGTATTGATAACTCTGCATCAGTGCAACACACTTAAAACCTTCTTTCACATGCTTCAGAAAGTGCACAAATTCTGAACGTAATGTGAAATAAACAACAAAGCATGACATAGCTCAGAGCACAAAGCATATAATTAGACTTGACTAAATCTTTCCTCATGGATCTGTCCATATTCATGTCTATGGGTCAGTCACACCATCACTAGAATCTAGATTTGTTTTTCAATATCAGGAAAGATATTAACATTTAGTTGTCTTAAAAACGACACCGTACTAAACCAAATTCACATGCAGACTACAACAGAATGACAAATAAAAATGATTAGATGCTATAAACTAATAAACAACTTTTAAGTCCGTGTCTTAATGTAAAGAAGACAAAAAAAAGACAAAGGCGAAGCAACAAACAAACCCGGAAGTTATATGAGTCACATTCTCTCTGTTTTATCATCTTCGTTTCCGCCACGAGGAACTTTTTTTTTTTTCTTTTCCTATTTTACCCACAATGCTTTGTCCAACATGGCTGCTCCCATGTGTCGGCGTGTGTGTAAACAGTTGTAGTATTACCCGCAGCTAAAGAGAGAAACTGCAACCCGTATAACACGGTGAAATATTTATCTGCTTCTGGAATACATTTCCCTCTGTTAGCAAGCAAAATGAAGATGAAATCCAAGTCTTCGTATCACAAATCCGAGAATACCTACAGGGTGAGAGTCTGGGAGCTCTATTAGCATGATGCTAAGAGCTTTATATATATATGCCATATATATATATATATATA